GCTAAAGAGAGATAATATCCCTAATTTTCCCCACTTGACAGATAAAGTGAGGGACTCATCATAAGTTTTCTTATTTATAATAATTATCATTTCCTGATCACCTGAGCCATTATATCAATTGTTTCCTTTACTTCACACAACAGTGCTATGAGATTACAGTACTATCATTAGATGATCCATTTTAAAAATCACAAAAAAACAAAGTTTAGACACCTTCACTGATTTTCCCAAGGTCACAGAACTAGGAATTAAGTAGCCTCAGTGGTCATGTGAACCCAGGTAGTTGAATCCAGACCTTATATTATACAAGCATTACACATTCCTACCCTTATCCATTTTCTAATGAGAGAGACCATGAATACATCTGATGTTGGGCCAGGTATAATCTTTGATTTCTAAGAAACAAAGATTTACTCAGCTTAAGTTAGTAAATGGAACTGCAACCAGTGAGAAAAAAGTGGAAAACAGGAAAAAGTCTGACCACTGCATAGTGTGTCTGAAATATCACCCAGGATAACCAAGACTCGTTGCCCCTCTGTAAGGGAGTACTCTTTCTTGTGCTTAGCTATCATGAGTCAGCAAATGTGTCTCTTCTAACTGACCTAAGGCAATTAACCTCTTCTTCCCTTGCTACCAATCTCATGACTTCAGCTTCTTCATGGTTTCTGCAGACTACCATCTCTATGTTTTCCAACATCTGCTCTTTCCCACCAACTGCTGTTACCTACATGTATTTCATAGTGAAGGTCACCAGATCAGGTAAATACCTGTCACCTAATAGAGAGCATCCTATATTGGCATAGTTCTTATGTAATCCACATGGTAGCCATTGGTCATTGTGGAAATGATTGTCTTGTATATCCGGTCAAATTTACTGCACGGGGGGCCTAGACACACAGTCCTATTTTCTGGATGAAGAGATCTATGCATTGTGAACATAACAAACTCTTTTATAGTACTCTTTTTTACAGATCATGTCCTTTCCTTTGGCATAGTAATAGAGGGGATTATCTATATATACTTCGTTTTTCTGTTATTCTTACATCCAACTAGGATAAACCAATCACTTGCCAAAAAAAAAAAAAAAAAAACCCCGAGAGAATGGAAAGTAAGTTGCCTGGAAGTTGGAATATATATATATATATATATATATATATATATATACACACACACACACACATATATATGTGTATATATATATATATATATAATGTTTTTAATCATTATTGAATCCATTATTCACAATATCTGTTATCTTTTTAAATGTTTGAGAACATGCTGGAGCTTAATAAATGATGATATTTCGTAACTATGCTACCTAACTTCCAGTTACCATCTCAGTATGTCTTTGGATATCACAGCTAATCATAACAGATTTTCCAGGCCAATCCTAATCTTGTAAGATCACTTCTTTTTTGTCAAAGACTGGACACAATTTTGGTTTGGATAATCCTGTCACAAAGTATAATTAGCTCTAGGAAATCTCTGTGTACACATGGGAAGATTTATATGAAATCAATAGAACAGACTTCTGTACATTTAAATATTTTTTTAAGATTTTATTTATTTATTTGGCAGACAAAGATCATAAGTAGATAGAGAGGCAGGCAGAGAGAGAGAGGGGAAGCAGGGAGCTGAGCAGAGAGCCTGATATGGGACTCGATCCCAGGACCCTGAGATCACGACCTGAGCCGAAAGCAGAGGCTTAACCCACTGGGCCACCCAGGCACCCTTAAATATTAATTTTTTAGTCCACTTTCTGACATTCAATTCCAACTATTCATTTTTTTATCTTTTCTAATATTATGAATGTCTTTTGCCATGAACATGAATTTTCCTTAACTTCCTTTTTTTTTTAAATTTTATTTTTTATAAACATATATTTTTTTCCCCCAGGGGTATAGGTCTGTGAATCTCCAGGTTTACACACTTCACAGCACTCACCATAGCACATACCCTACCCAATGTCCATCTTAACTTCCTTTTAATCTTATTTCAAATAAGTGACATTGAATTTATATCACACTTTATAATTTGATTTTATTCTGAGTATGTTTACTCCTCCTGATACTAAATTTCAGTGCTGATTATCCATAGAGCAGAGAGCTTTATCTGTCCATGGTAATCAGAATCAGCTTGATGCAGGGACTTGTGCACTGACCTCTTTAGGAAACAAAAGAACAAAGTATATGCTTGTTTCAAACAGTGGCAGCTATGGGATTTATAAAGTCATTTATTTTAAGTAAGCCAAGAGTTAAACTATTTTGAAGGTGATATAATTAAGCTGTATAATCCTAAAAAAAATCATCTTAAAATATTCACGAGAGTCACATCAAACACTGGAAAGGATCACCACATACTTCGTGATAAAAAAGTTAGAGCACAAATATTAGGAGATTTAAATACAGCCGGATCTAAGTATAAATCATAAGTCCATTAACTATGGTCTCCCCTTGCCTCAGTTACCTATCTTCTCCCAGCCCCCATCTTTTCTTTGGAAAACTGAAGTAAATAACCTCGATGTAATCATTTTGACTTAATGATTAGAAAAACCATACATGCAAAGTTTGTATCCCAGTTGTTTGGTATTTAGAAAACCTGTAAGATACTGCCTCTCCCCATTGTCTTTTATTGAAACTACCACATACTAAAAAGCAGGTTATAAGTCATAAGGAAAGTTTTAACAGACTTTTTGGTTTAAATTTTGTAACTGTCTGCTCTAAGTGAATTTATCCTGTAAGATGCTTTTTGATCTCACAGAAGGAATAAATTACCGTCAAATCAATGAAGAATAGGGTTCAATATAGAATCTAGAGGTAAGGTGGCACCTGGGGATAATACAATAAGCGAAGGAAAACAAAAAGGGAAATCTGATTGAGGGGTCAGGTGCTATAGTTCCTAATTCTCAAGGTGCTACAGCTCCTAATTCTCAACTGTACCCAAGATTTTCTCCATTTTTCTTTTCAGCCTGCATAATGCAAATCAAGACAACATCTACAATGATAAAACCCCTTTAACAACTTAGGTCTAACTTCTTGAATAAGAACTACAATTGCCTTCATTTTTTAGGCTTAAATATTTCATTATACACTACCACATCTTTCAACGGTCATATACGTCAAGAAAGTACATCCAACACAAGTTCATTGGGTAGGATACCACCACCACTTTGGAACTTGGTGTAAGTATAGTCTATAATACAGAGATAGTTTAAGCAATGTACAAGTTTGGTAATAGCAAATGTGACTTTTTGTGATTAATGTTGCCTCTTTCTGTTTATCAGTGTTGCTAAACAAGCAAATAAATAAATAAAAGGAAGAAGCAGGCCCAAACCCAGTAACAATTAACTGTAGTCAACACACTTCTCTCAGGTATCAAATCAGTTGAGAAACCAACTCCCTGGAGATAAAGAGATAGAAGTCTCAGTGCAACAGAGGTAGCTACATGTCCTCAGGCTTTGGCTAAAAACATACAGACACCCAGCAAATACATGTCAGCACCTATGGGTATCCCGAAAATATTGTATTCCTGTGAGAGAAGCAATAACATCAACATCAGCCTGAAAAGCTCTCTAGAGAAGTTCAGAAGGATAGCCAATTAAGATAAAGGGTGTTTTGACATCTTTATAAAATGTTACATCTCAGGATACCACTAGGAGGAAGGTGGAATCACCATTTCATGAAATATGAGTGCTCATTCTATAAAGCACATTTAGGATACTATTATAAGTCTTTACATGAAAGCAGCTAGATATTTATTAGATATTTAGATTGTGTCTTGGCATAAGAGATTATTTATTGAAATTCAGTTTGTGTATTATAATGATTTGTACTTATACTTTAAATAATGTTTCATTATTTGAAAATCATTTTGAAAGTACTACATTATAACAAGGTAAGTGGTTGCTATTATTCACTCACATGCTTAGGGTGCTAATCAACCCATCATATATAATTATAGTGATAGAATTATTTTATTATTCTTGATTACATAGAGATTTACCATAATATGGGATAATACCTTTAGTGTATATGTGCAGAGTAAAGTAGAAAAGAAAAAGTTCAGATAATTAAACTTAACTTTGAAAAAAAATTCTTCCATTCTCTCTAGATGATCTTAAGAAACTTATGAGAAAAATAGGTGTAGAAGAAATAACTGGACTAGTTTATCCTAATTATGTAGATAATTGCCCTAAACTATGTACAATCAAGCTTAACCTCAATTCACTTGAGTTTGATAACAAGCGCAACCTCCAACATAAAAGCCAGGGTTTCAATAAACACCTGAACATAATCTCTTACTGAAGAATTCTCCTTTCAAAAACAAGCATTTTAGAAAGAAGTTAATTTTTATATACTTTCCTTTTTATTAATCTATTTCATAAAAGAAATCTATCTCTTGTGGAAGAGCTATAAATCATATCAGTAGTATATTCATTATTTTGTTTTTTTTTAAACAGCTATATCAGAAACTTTACCATTTATATTTTAATTCCTAAATGGACACTATTAAAACATTCAGGGGATTAGCCCTAAATCCTTTAACCCAGAGAGAGCCCAGGAACATTGGTAAAGTAGAAAGCTGCACAAAATCTCAACTCTCATCTGCAAATTTTCTTCCCATCTAATTTAACTTTGAAGCTTTTCCACTCAGAGATTTTACCCTATGACATCAACAAAACACTTCAATCAAAATCAAGTTACCTTAGCGCGGCGCAGTTCTCTAGATTACTAAAAAGGTAAAATGAGAAATTAATGCTCTTTTCATTACTTCCCTTTATTTTCTCTTGATGCAAGGCAGCAAGCCTGGATTCCAAAAGAAATTGCCCTGAAACATCACTATCCCCCAATGCCGGTTTTCATTCTAGGACACTTGCTTACAAACTAAGCCTTCTCCTGACATAAACAGTGACTTGCTGCAGTGCAGAATGTCAGTTTAGTCGGTTAGAACTTTCCATGCAGAAATTCAGCGCGGTGCAGCTCAGATCTAGCAGCACTTACCTTAATTGAAATATTCTCTGTGAATGAGGGGAGACATCAGTCAAATCAACCGTGAATGGGGTGGGGAGATCGAAGTTTTCAATCAACACTCTCCAAGTAGCCGCCTGCGGTGCGTCTTTTTCCTGTTTATGCTGAGCCTCTCGCTGTCTACGAGCACAAAAAGATAAGCTGAAATCCTTAGAGGTTCCAGTGAGTAAATGAGGACTAAGCGATGTTTCCTAACGGGAGATCCTCCGCGAGCACGCTGCGTTTCGTGGCTCCCTAACTGCTGTGATAGGCTCCTTTCAGGTCCCTGGAGCCGGGCGATAATCATTGACCTGATTAGCGGGGAAACACTCCCTGCGCGCACGCAACACACGCGGAGGGTCGGCGGGTCTCCTGGGGACTGGAAAAGGCTCCGAGGCCACTTGGGAATCTTGTCTTTTCCAGCCTGATGGATGAACTGCAACTATGCCTATAATTTGCAAGGAGATTAGCCACCGTGTTAAGCCATCGGAGGACTTAAACAAATGGGCTTTCTCCTGAGGCTTTGCAAGGTGCATTCCTGTTAGAGATCAGGTACAGTGAAACAATTAAGAGCCTGATAGAGCTGATTTGTAAGGAGAGCCTAAAGCTGAATGTTTAAAGCGATGTGATAAAAGAGATAGCTGCATTTGTCTTTGCTCCAAGCCTGGTGCATACTTCAACCCATGTCTATGTAAAATGAATTTAGAGGTTTATCACAGCCCTCCAGAGTGCAACTCTCCGATGTATTAAAAGTATTCATACTAAATAAGCTTGTTTGGCAGTTTCTTACAGATGTGAACACTCAAACTAAGGCATGGAGAATAGAGCATTGCTTGTGTCGTTTTTCAGATAGCATTTTAAGTTAGCAACAGACTTACAGAGACGTTTGCACTATACTATTAACCTGAGTAGCAAGAGAATATATTACATTGAACTGAATCATCTTTTCTATTATCAGTTGAAATAGTGATTTCTAAAACTAAAACAAACAAGAGTAGGAGAGCATCCAAAATGCAAAACATTTTTATATAGTCATGTGCCATTAACAACCCTGCTGATACTTACCCACCGACCACCTGAGAAGTTCAACATCTCGGACTTTAAAAGTTACCACTTCCCTGAAGAGATCTAATTTCTCCAAAAGGTCACATAACTAAACACGGAAGCCCTAAATGGTTAATTTTTGAAAGCCCTTACTTCTATAGGAGGAAATTACTCAAATAACATAAAAAGAACAGATGAAAAAAGTCATTTGCATGTCTTGAGGGTGAGAAAAATCTCATTGCCAGAGAGAAAACTGACAAATGTCCTCTCACAATGGTTTTGCGTGATATGTTCAGCATTTCTGCTTTTCCAAGTAGGTTTCACTAGGGACATATGGCACTCCCTTGATGTGTGTGTGTGTAAGGCAGACAGAAGGGGGGGCTGCATTTGCATCATAATATTTTAATATTAACATATATCTTAGGACAATGTCAAATTTCAGTAAAGGAATGCACAAAGCATTATAGAGAATTTGTTTCCCAAATAATTTTTTTAAACAGATTTCATTAAAATACAAGCTCTTTGTGGAACTTATTGGACAAAATAAAACTTCAGTGTAACTGAGTTGCTATAATAGACTAGACACTTGAACTTAAAACAGAGAAACTGGTGAGAAGCCCCAGGACAAGGGCTGAGCCTGTGTCCCTTGCAGAGGAGGACTCTTGCTCCCTCCACTGGTCGAGGGGGAGACCTGAAGGCAAAGAAACCCAGTCGATACACTTCAGGAGAGGGAGTAACTTCTGCAGCTGCTAAGCAGGAAATCCATTATCCAATTACAGACTGGCCTTAGAGTGTTCTGGTAGAAAAGAGGCTGCTTAAATCAAAATTGATGCACATAAATTGTAAATAAACAGTCAACAGGAAACACAACTGCAAATTCTTCTGTGAGGATCCTGACTCGTTGTTAACATAGCACTTGGAAATGAAAATCTGATGGATTCTAAGGTTCCCATGTTTGGGCGGTCATGCAATTAAAGCACTCTGTTCTCTTATTGGTCTAAAGCTCATTCTGAAGATCTTAAATAGTGACCTCTTCTAAAAACTTTCTAATTAAGATAGTGTTTTTTTTTTTTAACCCTATCCACTTGGAATTGTCGTCACTACTAACTTAAAATGCTATTTGAAAAACTACGCAAGCAATGCTGTAACAAGCATAGGCTAAGTTAAGCTAACTTTGTGCTATCGTAGATGGTTTCTATCTGGAAAGCCCCGGCTGCATACGTTTGCACTGATGCTATTTCTAAATGACGGGTCTTCTTGTTCTCATAGACTCCAAGTGTCTTTCACCTTAAACATTTTCTACAAAGAATATGAATGACTTTACAGTAGTCTTTTTAACAAATAATTGATTTTAGGTGGGAGTACATTCATGAGTAACAAAGTAAATTATTACTCATTGGTGGGGAGTATGGAGAAGATAGAACAGGCATCCTTATAGATACTGTATGTAAGTGCCTGCCATGTGTCACACGTTCTGCATGCACTCTAACTGTAGTTGTTGTCCCAGGCATCCTTAGAACAATCCTATTAAGCAGGCATTATTATTTTTTAAATTTTTATTAATTAAGCTAAGATGCTGAGAAGGTTACTAAATTTATCAGTGCCTCACAGCCAGTACAGAGCAAATCTAAAATTAAAACTCAGGTCACTTTAACAGTAAAATCTTCTTGCTTAGAAATTTCCAAACATTAAAACCAACAAGAACAACAACAACAAAAAATTCCTGCTTCTAAAAGAAGAGGAAATTTTCTTGTTTTTATAATGCGAAAAAAATACATTTGTATCCCTAAAAAAGTATGTATTGTAACTGATAAAATATTATACTATGAAAGTTTAGTCACAGTAAATAGTTATATATCTTTTAGTAGAAAAAGAAAACCAACAACAAAAAACTTCTTTAGCAAAAAAAAAAAAAAAAAAAATCTAGAATTTCCAAATGGTGTAATTTCATTAGCATGTGCGCACACACACATAGAATCCCTTTTGCGATTCATTCTTCCTCTTCTTCAAAAATTATACTTTATGTTTTTTAAATAGGAAAATGACCCTACCCTAATACATGTGTACGTCAAGCACATTTACTTATACAGTAGGCCACAATTTTGATGATTTCTGATATTTTAGTTCTCCAGCAGAAGTAATGGAACAGCAAACTCATAGGAATTGCGGACCTGAGAAATTAATTTCTAGCATGTTTTTGCATTATCTAGAAGTTTCTTAAACCTCACTTGAATTTCACCATTTCATATGCACTGCTGGAATTATGAGACACATTCATAATCTCACAGAGAAATGTTGTGACCACATTTTTTCAAGGCTTCTAATAAAAATTCTGTCTAAAAGAAAAGAATGATGATAACTCAAATTAATTCAGTCCTTAAACTTTGCCAAGAAGTTTCCCACCTATTATCTCATTTGATTTTTACGGGAATCTTTTGATATAAATTACGAGAAGTATTTTATTCATATTTTAATGATGGGGAATTAGGAAGAAAAAGAGCAAAGTAATTGTTCTTTGGTCTCTGATTCTTAGTGGAAAATCTGATGTCTTCCTTTCCAGACAGTGTTATTGTTTCCCACCATACCTAAAAAAATATGTTTGTCTGAGTCATGTTGCAGTCAATAAAGACTCAAACAGATATCTAAATGGAAGCCACTCTTTCTTCATTTACTTGGGTTTGTACTAAAGAGTAACAATTGAGATTATCATTTAAAGAGTGACAATTGAGATTATCATGTAATAATGGCTGGTAGGATGGTTGTGATTGATATGTACAGGAATTTCTCCACAGAGAAATATTCTGAGCTGGTTGGAAGGTTGTGATTGATATATACAGGAATTTCTCCACTTAGATTTCTTATATTTTTCTCATATAATAATAGTCAGGATCAAAAAAGCATTCTTGACTATTCCTATATTAAGACAATTACATAGATATTGGTATTATGATCCTTATATGAATCCCTTCTTCTTCTCTATGGACTTCAGATTCAAATATTACCTCCCTACATCTTTCTTGGTGATTTAATAATCAAGAGAAAGGAAATCCCCTAACATTAGTGTTAGTTGTTTTAAATTTTTAAAACAAATAAATAAATAAATAAGTAAAACAAGCAAGCAATCTAACGAAGTAATAACAAATTGACTTTCAGCAGTAGCACTGAGCTAATATTAACAAAGGAATGCTTGCTGAATACTACCGTTCTCATATATTATACATAACATTCTCATATATTGTACCTATTTCTGCTTATGTGTAAAGACAGGGGTAGAATGGCTGAAATCTAACAGCCTTAAGGTAAACTGTTCCCATTTTGAGGCCAGCTCACATGAGTGAGGCCAGCTTCACTCATACATACTCATGGGTTTGAAATACTATGAACTTCTGGAAATAAAGAAGGCTCAACTGGATATCAGAAAGCTTGGACCAGAGTCAAAATTCTGGAACCACTAGCTTTATAATCTGGAGCCATTTAAAAAAGTTTCCAGTTAATGGGGCACCTGAGTGGTTCAGTTGGCCAAGCGTCTGACTCTTGATTTTGGCTCAGGTTGTGATCTCAGGGTCATCAAATGGAGCCCCCATCAGGCTCTACACTCAGCACAGAGTCTGCTTGAGATTCTCTCTTTCTCTGTCTCCCTCTGACCCGCCCTTCCTCACTTTCTCTCTCTTTCTTTTTCTCATTCTCTAAAATAAATAAATAAATAAATAAATCTTTAAAAAAAAAAAACAAAAAAACAAAACAAAACAAAAACAAAAGGAAGAAGCTTCCAGTCAAAAATTTCATTGGAAAATATGAGGAAATTAGTATATATTATCTCAAAGATTTAGTCAGCTATTTAAATTATGTTATCCGGGGCGCCTGGGTGGCTCAGTGGGTTAAAGCCTCTGCCTTCAGCTCGGGTCATGATCCCAGGATCCTGGGATCGAGCCCAGCATCGGGCTCTCTGCTCAGCAGGGAGCCTGCTTCCTCCTCTCTCTCTCTGCCTGCCTCTCTGCCTACTTGTGATCTCTGTCTGTCAGATAAAATAAATACAGTCTTTAAAAAAAAATTAAATTATGTTATCTATTTGGCTAATAGTGTGGGATATCTTTTCA